TTTCTATCATAGTTGTGCAAAATATGTGACTCAATTGCCCAAAAATTTTTGTATAAATTGTTTTCGTTTTAGTGTTTCACTTTTTATTTAAAGATATAAGTATATATATATAAAATATGAAGATTAATATTATATTTATAATTGTTGTTTTATTATTTAAAATTAACTTAATATTTTGTCCTATACTACAAATCTAAAATGAATTTATTGATACTTTTGTAAATTTTTCTTTTTGGTTATTTGTTTAAATTGTATCAAAAATGTTTGTAAATTAAAATACTTGTGATTAGTTTATTTGTAGAAATTTATTTACAAAAATAGAAAAATATTCTTTAAATATCGCGTATTATCTAAATCGAATTTTAATTAATTCCCGTCAATTTCGAGTTTCATGTCAAGTTTTAGACCTGTTAACTGTATAGTAGGGACATTCGTAAATATCAAGAGAGGGTTTTTATTTAATATTTGCATTTATAGTTTCTAATATGCTTAGAATTTTTGTTACCTTATTTCTTTGCTAATTCAAATTAGATTTTTTTCAATTATTGTTCAGCTTTTTAATAACATACCGGATACTTTTTTAGTCATTCGCATATTTTGCTGATTCAAACCACTGTGCAGTGTCTTCTATTCTGCTGCCATGCTTGAGACTGTGTGTGGCTCATTGTTTGTCTATGCGAGTACATTGCTGTTGCTGCCCTGTAGGCGACTACACACACACACACACAAACACACACATCAAAAGACACACACAAACAGACACACACTCAAGCACACTCACACACACACACATGTGGGTTTACGCAGATGCTCGAATGTGAGGCTTTTCGCTATTGTTTGCAGAATTTATTGCACGAATTTCTGAATTGGCTCTTTGGACTAGTATGTGGTTTTATTTCTATATGCACATACATATATATATATATATATATATATATATATATATATAGATATCCTCTGGGCACTCAGTCGCGGCCTTGGTTGGGGCTTATGCTAAAACAATAGCCCGACCGACCATAAGTATTTATTGGGTCGTGCTGCCGCATTACGCTTAGCACTGGCTGACAGAAAGGTGTTGTCCTTTATGCTCAGGTCGTCTTAATTAGCATCAAATTTTTGTGCAATAATACGCCCGAAAAAGACCGACTATTTCCGCCCTCTCTCTTAGTCCGTTTTACACACATTGCGTATACGTCATGTGGCTGTATGACAAAAACCATATCCTTGGATTAGCATTCGGTGTTATTATTGTTGTAATTTCCCTTGGCAATGCACACATTGTGTATCCGGATGCCTTTCATGTGTCAAGCGATAGTCTCATCAGCGTGGAGCCATTGCCGGTCGCATATTATTAATATTGCGTATACGCCGCGTATGACATTTATTTATTATGCTCGCTTTTAATGCCGACATCACATAAATTTATGGAAAACCCGAAAACAATTTGTAAACAAACATGCGTGAATGTGGCCACATGGAACATGCAACACGTTTCCGGTTCATCATTTTCGGTTGCGTGAGTCGCGTTTTATGAGTTTCACTTCCCCCACATAGACAAAAAATCATGATGCTGGCGTCCGCATATCTGCAAAATTCTGTAAATGCGTTAGATCTAATGCGGCTCGGGCCTAAATCATTTGCGGATTTACACTGTTTAGCTAGGAATTTCGGGACAGTTACGGGTCCCTCGGTGCTGACATTGGCAGGCTCGCATTTACACTAAAATATCTGCAAATAGCCAAAAGCCCTTTGGGAAATCTCATGACTGCTAACACCAGCTTACATTTAGATGTGAATGTTGGGCAAAGCAATGTGTGCTTAGATTCAAGTATCTATGAAAATAAAGTAGAGTGCTCTAGCTGGACATTGCTCGACTTCAAATAACTTCGGCATATATTGTCCGATTTTTACACAATTTTTCGGGGCATAAATATGTTATCCAAATGTGACTTAATCCCAAAGTTTTTTCACAATTCTTGTGGGAACAGGGAAGGTACCGACCAATTCTGGAAATATGTATACTAAGAAAGAGTCTTCATTCCAAATTACGTACTAGCTCGCATAAGCTCAAACAAAGAGGAATTCAAAATAGATTTTGATTCGATTTCTTGAATCATAAGTTATCGATGATTTGACGGATGGACAGACAGATAGACATGGCTTAATCGACTCAGCTTATCAAGCTGAATCCGAATAAATATTTTTTTATAAACTAAATGCTTCCCTCTGTCTGTTAAATACATATTTACACATTTTCAATGGGTTCATTCAAATATGTGCAAACGAAATCGATAAAAATAGATAAGCAGGTTTGATTGGGTAAATGCACTTTTTGTGCATGTGAGCTCTATGGATTTTAAATACACACGAATAAAGGCAGCAGGCCAAAGAGAGGGAGTACAATGTTTAAACACGTATTCATGAAGCATTTGGCAACATGTTTAAAGAGCTGTTTGTATAGGCATGACAGATGCCAGAGAAATGTCGCCAGCATTTCGCTTCACATGTGGCAGCTCACACACAACTACATAAACAAGCGCAGCTACGAACATGTGTTACATATACATATACACACGGCCGTGGCAGCTGCATGTGGCATGCAGAAATGTTGCAACATTCATAGCGTATAATCGCAGGCGACAGGACATTCGAGCTGCATGCGTGTGTTGCATGTTCAGATTCATGATTTATTTATGGGGCACTATGGAAATGACACGGCGCCATAAATCGCCCAGCTCGTGTGCACACAAATATCCCAGTAATTAAATCGAATAATTGAAGCGAAATTTAATTAATACACTTAATGCTTACAACAATCAAAAAGCCAGAAACATGGCCAAAAACAATTATAAATAGAGACAATAAAACTGGAGACGAGCATATGTAATGACAGACAAGCGTGTGAGTGTGTGTGTGTGCTAGTCTGACCTTAATCCAATTAGCTGTCCACTGCTGTGTGGCAGCTCTCAAATGATTCCCCAATTTGCTGCCAGTCAATTTAATTTTGTGTCCATGGGGCGTTCCAAGCTCGTGTCATGACAAGAGAAATGGCAACTCGCCAGTTTGGCGGTTGGGCAGGTGGCGGAACGGATCTGGTTTCAATTTCATTGAGCTGCCCATTTGCTCGGCACTTTCGGAAATTGTTTCAACGTCGGTTTGTAATTTCACACGCAGTTAAGTGATTAGCCCAGCTTTTTATACCCTGAACCCATCAAAAATGGGTATAAGGGTATATTGTATTTGTGCAAAATCCAAATGCATGTAACAGGCAGAAGGAAGCATATCCGACCCCATAAAGTATATATATTCTTGATCAGCATCAATAGCCGAGTCGATCTAGCCATGTCCGTCTGTCTGTCCGTCCGTCCGTCCGTATGTATAAACGCAAGGATCTCAGAACCTATAAGAGCTCGAGAAATTTTAGATGTAGGTGCTCCTAGCTCCCGCGCAGATCGAGTTTGTTTCCGATAATCGATAACTTACTCCGTTTCCAAGCAATCAATAAAAATCGATATCGATATCCTGTTTCTTGGGCAATTTCGGTAAATAATAAGAGCTAGAGTCACCAAACTTGACATATAGCTTCTAAAATAGAATATATATATATGCATTTGGAAGAAGAGAAGGGAGCTCCCGACTAGAGCCTTTTACTTGTTTAATATTATGTTATGCAAATGGCTTGGGTATGCAAAGTAAGTATATTGATTTAGATAAAGCTACCTATTTATATGGCTTGAATAAATCCAGTGGAGAGAGCTCGATTGGGACAGTACTTCGTTTAGTATAATTTAATGAATCTCACTTGAGATACTCCAAAAAAGGTGGACTTTGCAAGTGAAACATTTTTTGGCCAACAACTTTTTTCTAATGAATGCCATATGATAGTAGGGATCCGTACGCATTCAAAAAGGTATAACATTTAAAAATAAGATTATATTTAGCCGAGATTTTCAAAAAAATCGTCAAACAAGTTGAGATATTCGAACCTACCCCGATTTTGGAAAAAAACGTGATGTAAGCCCTTGCATTTTGGTCGATTTGGGTGAAAATTTAGATTTTTATTTTTCTGATGCCAATCGATAGTACTGATCCTTACGAGTCAAAAATAGTATAAAATTCCAAAATCTGAGATTATTTGGCCGAGATAGTCTAAAAAAATTATCAAAAAAGGTTGATTATAACAACTCAACAACTCATTTCAAACCATCAATTTTTATTTTGTTTGAATGCCGTATGATAGTAGGGATTCGTACGAATTTAAAAAGGTATAACATTTCGAAAACAGGATATATTTACCCGAGAGTTCAAACAAATATTCAAAGAAGTTTTGATATTCGAACCTACCCCGGGGAATAGCTCTCGGGTAATAGCGCCGCGCGGAGATATGACGTTCCAAAACGACATAACTCCGCGCGGAGATATGACGTTCTAAAACGACATAACTCCGCGCGGAGATATGACGTTCCAAAACGACATAACTCCGCGCGGAGATATGACGTCCCAAAACGACACAGCTCCGCGCGGAGATATGACCTTCCAAATCATCGCGTTTTTTTTTCAAAATCGAGGTCGGTGCAAAAATCGAAACTTTTTCGATGATTATACCCTAAACCCATCAAAAATGGGTATATTGTATTTGTGCAAAATCCAAATGTATCTAACATGTATCTAACAACTTAAATATGACATCCAAATCCCAAAACAAAGCCTCAATAAATAAAGTATTCTAAATTTCCCAAGGCTTAAATACGTGTACTTCCCTATGCCCAAGTCAATGCCTAACTAAAGAATTTTTGGTCTGGATCTGGACCCACATACCCAATTTGGCATCGCCAGCTTTTATAAGCTTCGAGATATGCCAAAATAAACAGGAATGGAAATTGATTCTTATCGATTCTTTAAGCGAGCTATCCGTATAGTCTCTGAGCATCTATTTATTATCTTATTTCATCGAAGGAGTAAAAGTAAAACGTTTATTTCTTTGTCTTACGCTGTTGCAGCTGGGGCCATTCCATGTGAAGCAGCCAACGGAGCAGCAAAAAGGCGCTCAAATTCAACGATTCGTGGCCAGCATGGATGAGGAGCACGAGGACGATCGAATAATATGAGATTAGATGGGGCTTTAGAGCCCCGTCACGGTGCTGCAACGTTGCAGAGCCGATTTATTGGTGTTGCCAAATATCGGCGCGAGACGCGCCTAAAATGTGAGCAACAGCAGCAACAATGCGCTGACGAAGACGACGAAGCAGCAGCAGCAACAGCTAAGCACTTCAGCAACAGCAACAACAACAGCAGCAACTGTTTGCGCAACAAGAACAACAGCAACAATTGCCTTGGGGCAGTTTTGGAGCAACAAGCTCAACATTTGTCGCCCAGCCAGGCGCCAGGCACAACAACAACAACAACGGCTAACACAAATAAAGTTAACTTGCACTTAAGCATTGAGGGCGCCACAACAACAACAACAGCAGCAGCAACAACAACAACAGCAGTAGCAACAACACCATCAAATTGGCTCGCCACAGTCGCCTCCCTGAAAATGCGTGTGAAGCAATCGTTAATGCTAATGGCGCGCCGGGTCCACCGCCAGCTGAGCATGAGGGGGCGCCTCGGCACCAGCAATGTCCTGTGCCTGATTTCCGTTGTTGCGCTGGCAGCGCTGCTGCCGCTGCCGCCGCTGGCGTTGGCCGATGACGGTGACAATTTCTTTGCCGTTAATAGCTTCAGCGTGGGACCGGAGACGACAACACCCGAGTTTGGTAAGTTAACGCCACTTGTTGGGGTCAGAGGGGGGCGGGTACTATGTTCCAGGCAGCACCTGCGGGGCCTTATCGTCCCACATTCCCAATTGCAATGCATGCAAATGCCTTGTGGCACACAGGGCGTAATCAAATAGCTACAACAATGTCGTCATCATGTTGCACATTTACCATTTTTGCATAATCAGCATAGGCATGACTTACAGCACAATTGCATGCATGCATGTATGCATGTATGTGTGTATGCATGTACGCATGTAAGTATGTAGGCCTTTCACAGCGGCCCAACTAGAGCCTGTTGCGTGCCGTGCTTCCTTACAGTTCGAGAAAGCGCATGAGTCGACAGCTTATAAGACACAAAAGAACCATCAACCACATTGCAAAAATACATTTAGAGAAGATTAAATTATCTTGTACATAGAGTTCCTTAACTATGAAAAGCTTATCGATAGATTTGATAGCTGGCCTTAGAGATGATAATGGGACGGGAATCCTGTGAAAGTCCCGCATCCGCTGCCAAAAAGTATATTAAAATACGAAAGATGGTTAGTACGATCCTTTCTTCGGCTGTGGATGTGATTTATAGTATTTTTTTTGTTAAGCAAAAATATTAAAAAAGTATCAAGGCGGGATACAAATATTTCATTTCGGAGATATTCAAAAAAAATCATTAAAAAAGTTGTAATTTCTTAACCGAAAATAGAAATATTTAATATTTAAATAAAATATCCAAAAAGCCAAATAACTCTAGCTCACTTTTTCGACGTATTTATTAGTACAGTCTGCAATTCAAAGATTAATTTTATATTACAAACAGTTGCGACACGTTGCCATCCCTAAGCATAGATAGTTTTTAGCTCTGCGACCCGCTTGCACAACGAGAATTTCCATTTTAATTTCAGTTTGATGAGCTGTTGCTGCGGCATATGCAAAAAGTTTACCCTGTGGCTGCTTTGAAAATATTGCAAAAAGCGAGAGCATTGTTGAAATAAGCAAAAGTTTCTAATTATAAATGCGGTTAGCTGTGGCTGGGTCTACAAGCAGACTTTTATGTGCGCCTGTTAAATGGCTGACCATCAGCAAGACGACACCAGCAATCACTTACGATGCGGCGAGCGCGGGGCGCAGATTAAGGTTTGATTTGTTGGTTGTGTGATAAATGAGCTAATGGAACGTGCCCCAACGTGCAGATGGCATGTTTGCTAGAATCTCTTTTTGAAATGGGTATTAAAAGGTCACAAAAATGCTGTGTCTTGTGGCACATTCGCTTGGTAGCTGCAACGTTGCTTGCCACAAAAGCGGATGCGATGCGGCAGTTGCTTTTTTAGCTGCATATGCCTGGGCGCTATTCATAGTAGACACTGCATTTATAAATAAACCGCTAGCAAATAGACATGCACAACCACACTCACACACACACACATACATGCATTTACCACACAAAAATGGCGCAACATTTTGTAAGCGCAGCCATTTTGTTTTGTCTTTTGCGCTTCCGTTGGCTTAAATGCTAGGCCGGCGCACATCCTCTTCCGTTTTCCCGTCGTCAGCCACAGCCTCATCATCATCATCATCATCAACATAGGCCGTGTACTTGGTAATTATGGCAGAGTATCAACAGAAATTAGTGGAGCAAACGGCGTGTCGCGCATATGGCATATGCGGCAACATTAACGCTGACGCTTAACCCCTGGCTGCCGTTCAGATTTTGCGCACATTGTTGGAGGCCAGTTCCGGCCGAAAGTTGCTCCCAAGTGCTTAATTAAGATGTGAGCACAACTCAACTCACTTTACATGCCGCTGACGTGCGAGTGTGTGTGTGTTTGTGTGTGTGTTTTCATTTCATTCAAACTTAATGAAGAATACGCCCCTCATACTCATCCGGACAAGTGGCATGTGGCATGTGGCATGTAGCATGCACAGGCTGAAGTGCCTACACTTGAGCCGCACTTCGGCCCCTCGAGTGTGCGTAGCCAGCAACCAAAAACATTTCGGCGCGCAGCTTGTAAAGGTGCACACAGGTGTATATACACATAGATATTTATATATACCTAGTCCTGTTCAGCTGACTGACAGTCGTTGGCCCAGAGATTTATACATGAATTTACATTTTAATCTGCCACTAAGCCGCTCGGGATTCAAATACTTTTCACTTTTCCGGCAGGCTGAAGCTTTGAAATTGTTTTTCCTTTCTTTCCATTTTTCCATTTTTTTTGTGATTTGTTTGTTTGGCTTAAAAGTTTGTTGCGGTTTCATTACAAATTTGTCGCTTGGGATTAGTCGAAATACATGTGCTAAGATTGGCATTTAATCTATCTTATCTATATATATTATATGCTATATTCACAGATTATGCCAGCCGCGGCCAGAAAAAGTTCGGGGACAAGTGCGACAATACATTGGAGTGCGGCTTTCCCGGCTCCATATGCGATCCCAAGAAGAAGTACTGCCAGTGCACCGACGATCTGCAAATCACCAATCACATTGATAAATGTGGCAAGGGTAAGTGCAGCGACGCTTGTATTTTGTCAGTCTGCCAAGTTTTCATTAAAACGAATCGCAGGGCCAGCAAAAAAACGGAAATACCCCAAAGCCTTACGTTGATTACTAACTTTGCTGTGAATTGAAAATTAGAACGGAAAAACTTGGCAGCTGGCTGCAATCGCATGTATCTAGGGAGCAGCAGGGGGAGCTGGGCAAACTTAATGCATATTTGACATAATTATAATATATTTCGTATGCCCAGGCCACATTAAAAGCTGTAAATTCAAATCAATTTGTGCGATTATTGCTTCATTAATGATTGACATGTTTATGAGCAGAGCATTTGGCCACTGGCCAATGAGTCATCGCGACCGACTAATGAAAGGCAATGAAATTACGGCCAAGTTGTGAAATCCCAATACAATTTGAGAACATTTCATAATTATGCATTATCTGAGTGCTAAAACAGCTGCTTAAATATTGAGCTATAAACTTAATAATTCCAGAAAATCGAAGAACTGATGAAAAGATCCTTGATATATTTTTGGAGTATCTCTCCCAGGCTAATATGTACAATGATTAAGATTTATACGGAATGATTCACAGCAAATCATTAGAACAATAAAAAGTATCTTTTATGAGTTTATAATTATATATTCAATAATTTCGTTGACATTCCTGAATCACTTGCGAATTGTTTAATTTATCATGTCAGAATACGTAAATCGTTTTAATATTGATTCATTTTTTACTCTTTAGCCAATTGGGGAAAATCTTAGCTTAGATATATCTTATAACCACTCAGAAAATACGACATATATTATATGAATATTTTAAAAACTGTATTAAATACTATTTAGCAGCAATTTAGTTTCGTACTTTTACAGTAAAAGTTTTGGAAACGTTTAGCACAATAATATTTGCATCTCTTTCCCATTAATGCCAGCTATAAATACTGAGCCCCACCCAGTTATTAAAGGCCTAAATTCTCAGACTATGCTTATGTATTTACACACATGCTAGAATTATTCAAATACAACATTTTGAAGGGCACTATAAATAGCTAGACAGGTTGGTGGGGTGAATGGGGGCGTGTTCCGGGCTGTGCGCTGTAAAAATATTTGTCTGGCGGTCATCAAACTGACGCCAGTGAGGATTGACTCAGCCACAAGTTGAGTCCAACTGTTTCGTTCTGTGCACTCATAAAGCGAGCGTGTAAACAAGCTCCGGAACAATGAAACAGATATATATACATATACATATAGATAATATCTATGTGTAGCTACATGTGTGTGAATCACACTGTTTACTCCTTACTTGCAGCGGCTGCCATCAACGAGTCCTGTTTCTTCAACGAGCAGTGCGAGGCGATTTACTTTCAGACCGAATGCCGGGACGGACGTTGCATATGCCGCTTCGAGATGTCGCCCATTTGGGGCAAGGATGGGTCCGTCGAGTGCAAAGGTCGGTGTGCGCCGCGTCGCCCAGCGCAGAAGGAGAATAATAGTCTATGTGGTTGTTTGTTTTCAGGACGCCAGGACAAGCGTGGAGAAAGCACCTACATTGATCCGGCCATGATTGGCGTACTGGTAGGAATGGCATTGATGTTTATTATTATTTGTGTCGTCCTGCGATTGTTTAGCCAGTGAGTAAATTGCAATGCAAACATTTATCACTTATCACTTATCACAATACACCAAAAAGAAAACGATGAGGCAAACAGTTCCTGCCACACATGCCCATAAATTAATTGGGTCAATGGGCTGTGTCCTCGGCGGGGGGATGGGAGGCAGCTTCATTAACTCAACTCAATTTGCTGGCTTGACGTTGCCCTGGCTGCTTGCCAAATGATACATAATTTGATCAGCAATTAATTTCACTTAGATGAACAAAATTTGTTGCATTAATTGGCATTGAACGCAGTCAACGTCTTTCAATATCAATCCGCGCGGGCCTTGGCCCCGGTCCTTGCCAGCATTTTGGCCATCTACTCATCCGGCATTGTTTTGCTTGTGCTCTTGCAGGGCACGCTGGCACGAGAATCGCACCATATTCAATACGCCGAATCCACGCCTGATGAACGTCTCCCTCTTGCGGGACAACAAGCTGCTCCATGGCCAGGATAGACGCGGCTCGCGCATGTCCGTGCGGGCGCCATCCCGTCAGCCGAGCATGGCCTCGCTGCGTCCGCACTCGCCGAATCCGTCGCTAGGTAAGACAGGTTTGTATCCCATATGTGTGGCTTCCATTTATTGATGGCACCTGTTTACTGTACTGTACCCAGTGCGCATTTTGGCTTCGGTTTCCTAATTTCCTTATTTTGTTTGTGTGTTTTTTGTCGTTTCAACAATTTTGGTTGATTTATGCCAATATTTTGTTCAAGAACTTGCAGAACTTTCTGCACACAGTAAAAATAAACTCGAATCAATCAATCAATCAATCAATCAGTCAGTCAGTCACCAAAACAACTAACCAAACAAATTACAGCGGAAATCTATATCTACGAAAATCCGTAAATTCGAACAAAAAAAATGCGTGTGAGTGTGCAAAAAGTCGAGCTCTTAGCAAAAACAAAATATTATTTTATAATATCTTAAGCCTATAACTTAAACACTTTTCTTGATTGACATTTGATAATAATTTATAAATAAAAAATAAATAAATTTAATGCATGTATTTATAGCCACTAAAAAAGTAATAAACATTGCGAAATCATCGACAAAGCAATCGATATGTTAATTGAAATACAGCTAGTTATCTTTGAGAGATGCGATTAGGCAGGTGTTTTTTTTTTTAGGGAGAGCAGATAAGAAGAAGATGGCTCAAGAGATTTATTATAATCTAATATCCAAGGGTTTTACTCAAATGATATTTATAAAGTTCCTTATAAGAAAAGTTCCATGCGACCAAAACATTTTCAGTTTTTGAGCATAACTAGATTTGCTGTAGGAATATTAAGAGAATTAATTTCATGAATTTTGTAGAGAAGGTTTGAAGGATTTTAGTTTCTATTATTATCTACCAAAATTGTGAGTGCTATTCTTTTCTTTAGGTTAGGCATTATTAGAAACTTAAGAATACCTAGAGTGAGATTTGACTACACCATAAAGCTGCATTATAGAAGAGCATAAGGGTCTCAGCATACTTTTAACGCACGTAAACACTTATAAATAAATATAAAATGAACCAGTCGTTCCATATAACAGCTATAGAAAGCTTTTACTTCCGTGAGCCTCGAACTTTACCTATTAGTAGAGTTGTGTCGTTTAGTTCAGACCAAGTTCGATTGAACGGGTCATTAAAATGAACTACTGAACTTATTCAGTGATTTAAATGACCGATTTAGTTCACGGCCAGAAAATGAAAGAGTGAACTTATTCAGCAAATTGAACTAGAAGTCCCCACTCTAGCTATTAGCTAACGAGCTCCTGAGGTTTACCCAATCGAGTGGATAGCAATGTGATTGAAATTTTCTGTGCGGAATCGCATAACAATCGAACTACAAACAAAAACAAGGCGACAAGTTCAAGTGTGCGGCCCAACTCTGTGGGGCTCAATCAAATTGATTGACGTCTTAAGAACCGTTAAATTTAAAGCTGGAATATTTTTGTTGTTTTGGTTGCCTGGTGGTGGTGGTGGTGCTGCTGCTGCTGCTGGGTTTCGTTATCTAAAGTCCGGCGGACAGTTGTTGCCAATTACCTTTGTTCTCAGTGATTAACTTTATTGTTATTTGAGTTTTGTGTCGCGTTGCCAAACAATAAACATTCTCTTTGCTCGCTGCCTGCTCTCTCTTCTGCCACACACCCACACACACACACACGTACGCACGCACGCACATTGCTGTAAAAGGTCGCATGATACGCTCGAAGAGCAACACACGCTCCAGCGACTCACGTGTCAGCGATGTTTCCAACTGTTCGCGTCTGCTGGAGCATCCGAGCGCCGCCAGTCAGTACAATGTTGTCCATAGCCATTTTTTGCCCTACGTGCCAACCACAACAACGGCGGCCAGTGTTGCCAACGCCACAACGACCTCAACGTTGACGCCAACGCCGACGCTGACGCCGACGCCAACGCCAGCGTCATCGAACACCGTGACGACCACGTATGTGTCGTCGCCGGGCACGGCGCCCGCCTGCGGCATGACTGCCAATCCGGCTGCCAATAAGTTTTAGTCTTAGGCCACATATATCCAATGCAGCCATATCAGTACCAGTACCAGTTCCAGTTCCTGAACCAGTTCCCGAGGTATGCAGCGACGTTGTTGTAGCCGCCATTTTTGTTGAATGTGTTGTTTAGCTGTGTTATGCCCAGTGTCCTGTAAATTATGTAGTTGCTGTCTTTGTTGTTGTGCCAAAACTGTTGTTGTAAGAACCTAACATTAGAGCTAAGACGTAGTGAGAGTTGCCGTTAACTTCTATAACAAGTAACTAAGCTCCCAATAACTATAACAATTACTAACCCCATGTATGCGCCACCAGACACTCCACACACAACACGCAAGACACACTTAATGTTACGATTATGGCTAAAGTTTAGCTTCAAGCTAAAGCTAATGTTAAAGCTAAAGTTACAGATTTAGTTGTTTAGTCTGCTCTCTTTATGCTATGTACACTTAGACACCTCAACTGAAGATTACGAAACTGTCATAGTACTCCCAAAAAAAAAAAAAAACACTCTTGCGTAACCATATACCATATAAATATATTATATATAAATAGTGTTTAGCAGCGTCTGTATTTTGTTTTCATTTTCATTTCAATTCCCCTTTCCGTTTCCGCTTTTTGTTTACAGTTTTAATGCACGCCATTTTCCAACTTTTAACTAGTTTTATATGACTTCTCCGGCTTTGCCTAATCTTTTTATACCCTTGCAGATAGCATGAAGAAGATAACGACCACTTTATTAGATATATTTATTATATATCAAGAGCAAGATATTCTCGTCTATCGTCTTTCCGTTTTGATAATTAAATTTATGCTAAAGTAAAACTTTGCATAGGATCTTATTGTTTTAGAAGACGGTACATGTATGTATATCATAAAGCTGTCAAAGAACTATCGGTCGAAATTTTTTGTGTGTGAGGCTATTGGTTCGGCTCACAGATCAGCATGGATTCGGCTAAAACCTCAAAATTGCATGCAGAAATGGTTTGAATCCAAGTTATCTATCCTGAAGTTTCCAGCTAAAACTGATTTGTAACTCTTATTATATACTTACAATCATATTAGCTACAAACTCTATAAATAAAGGAAAAAGCAGATTGTCATGGGATATTTTATTATAAAGCTAACTCGATCGAGCTAGGCACGATCGGGCTAAGATGTAGCTCTCGTTCTATTGCAAATATTTCGTTGTAATATATCTAAGCCAACCCTCATGATAACGAGCTTTATTTTGCTCCCAACGAGATATTTTTTTCTCTGTCAAATGACAATGACAATGGCAGCTTAATTTGAACCAGCGATCTCTCTTTGCTTAGTCCAACGCGTCGACATCATTTACCTATCAAGCCGCTCGAAAGGGATAAATCGCATATCTGTCAGGGTATTCAAACTTCGGCACTCCGAAGAGAACTAATCTTACCTATTAATTGCTTATTTTATAACTAAGAAAGCGTAGTATCCAAGTATTTGTGTGCGTAGACCGTGTTTCAATGTAGTCTTGTGCTCGTGCGGATGCATTTGTGTTCCTTCAGTTGCACACATGAGTTAGCTGAATGCCAACCTTACCGGCGCCTGAGTGAATGCCGGCTACACCTGCCATGTTGTAAACGTTGTTGTTGTCCTTATACGTTTATTCATTGTCTGCAAACGAAAAAAATGTAATAAACAATCACTACGTGCTCCACTCCACAGGCTCCCAGTCGGACTCCCATGGCAGCAATGCATCCGCCACCTCGGTGCGCTCGAACCGCAGCAATTCGGTGGCGCCGGGCAAGGTATCCGGCGCTGGTCATCACGAGCGGCACGGCTCCTCGCATCGCCAGCATCACGCACAGCTAAAGTCGCCGCAGGAGGAGTCCCTGATTACGAACATAACCACAAATCCCGTGGCCGAGAGCGTGACCGTCGAAATAATTGAACCAGCCCAAAAGTGAGCATGCAAGTGGCAAAAAAAATAAGAATATATAAAAAAAAATTAAAAGAAAACTAAAAATAATAACACGCATAAACGAGTCAACAAATCGTCGATATCGTCGTTTAATATGCACGCGATAGTAAGCCCAACATAATGCCATTGTTAGAAACTTTTTTAAAAGACAGTTTTTTTTTCCATTTTTCGAAAAATACAAATTTTTGCAAAACCACACACAACAACAAATGCTAACTAATTGCTTACATATACATACAAATATAGATATATATATATATAGATATATATATATATATCTAGTTATATATATATTGCAATCAATGCGTATATTGAATGGATATATACGACTACACTGTGGAAAAAAAATGTTCGAAAAAAAACCTTGCATAACAAATTCATACTAATCTTTTTTCAAAAAAAAAAAATTTAAAAAACGAGCAAAAAAATGTAAAAAAAAAAATAATGATCATGAAAATGAAATACTTTATTAATTTATATAAATATTGTACGCAGATTTAAAGCTTTTATGCCTAGGAGCACAAGCAAAAAATAAAAAAAAAAAAACAAATCGTTTTTGTAGGCAAGATTTAAAAAAGGAATTTAGGAAAATTGAGTTTTTGCTAATATATATATATATTATGTCTTATACGAAAAGTAAAAGCGAAAATCATTGCCAAAACAACAATTGGGACACACAAAATACACAGCAGACTATGTACAATGTACATACGCACAAGGCCTTATCTTATCTATATCTAGATGCAGCTACCGATGTGGCAACGGCTAGTATATATACATATATATAGGTATATGTGTTCCGGCCACACCTCCAATTGCTGCTATCGCCCCCCTCCATAAATATGGATATTATTATTCTTATAGCCAATGCAAGAGCACACACATATATAAAAAAAAATATTCAAAAACCTCGGGACCATATTTTATAATCAAAATATGCGTTTCAATTAACGAAGCACGCACCTTTAGTTCCCACTTAAAACCAATTTGTCAAGTGTTTTATTCGATATTCATTTTTAACTAGCTATTGTTAAACGCTGGCTGAGCTAATGTTTAGGGAACTCGCACAAACACGAAAACCAACAAATAAGCAAAGAAAATCTGAGAAAATCGGAGAAAAGCTAGCACAATGCACACTCAAGTGCCGTAGTTCGAGTTAGTTAGCGCCTAACTAAATCTAAACTATATGCGAGTAGTTGCTAAACATAATAATCGAAATTGACTTCCAGTTAAAGTTATCAACATTTCAGTTCTTTACAACACTGTAACATTTTTGTGCTAAATCTCCACTCACACAAATTTTGTTTTGGAATCCTCTGGAATGGTCGGCCGGGGCTGAGCACTGGGCGAGCCAATAATAGGGGAAGATTCTTCGTGCGTCCAGTGCTGAGCTCACATTTGGCTGGCCAAGAACAATTAAAAAAAAAAAACAAAAAGATATATATATAAAGTTATAGTACTTAGAATGTTGAGTATGTTAAGGTCTTTTGGTTTTCCGCAAAGCCCCCCCTCAACAAAACTCTCATTTGCTTTTGTGCTCAATCAAAGAAGCTTAACTGTGAGAATAACAAAAAAAGGTATACAAAACGTGTTTGTACTTAAAACAAAATGAAACAAAATCATAACAAATAAATAAAAATAACAAAAACCTTAAGCCTAAAGAAATATGCCTAAAATGGTACAATTTAGTAGAGCGAGCGTATATCGCATAATCTTAAACAGAAATACTTGAAACAAAATTCCAGCAAGCAAAAAAAAAGTAAATAAAAATGCTTTAAAAAATATCTATACATATTTAACTAGCTAAAATCGAGTAATTATAAATACGATAAAAAAAAAAAAAGCAACATAATTTTATTCAAATTGCATCGAATTTTTCCTTAAACAGCAAACAAACAATCTTATTTCTAGGACATCAAAAAACTATATGCATACCTTTCTTTCACAAGAGCAGCAAGCATAGAGAATTATAAAAAAAAAGACAAAAGATCAGATGGTAAAGGAAGAAAAAAAAAACAACTTGAGCATTGAAATTTGGGGAAGGATTTCAAGGTTTAACTTGGTTTTTGTGACAACACGTTAATCTAAGCACATATAAAACTAAACTTAAACTTAGATATATATACATCTATATATATATATAGATAAGATTTATGAACATACTCCAGACACTGATTTTTCTATTTACATCAAACTACAAAAAATGTTGAAGGCAGACTTTAAGTAAGCGAATTTTAAATAAGCAAAAAATCATAAGAAACAAATATATATACATCAATATATGCTTTATTTACTTTAAAACTTATACACGAAAAAAAAAAAACATTTAAAAACTAAAAATAAAACATGATTATATACACTTCTTGTCTAGTGAAAATCTATGCGATAAATTCATTTACACTCTACCAAAACAATTTTATACATATACCAAAGGCAAAACATCGTAAATCGTATTAAATAAAAAATAAAATCGATATATATACAAAAGAAAAGCACAGCAAAGCCATGCGGAAACAAAAAAAGAAAAATAATAATATATTATAAATTAAATATGAAAGCTAGAACATCAAAAAAACTGCTGCATTATTCTCCAGATTTCTCATGTGACTCATTCAAAACTAGGCACAAGAACAACAACAACAACAACAACAAGAACAACTAGAAGTTGAGAGTAGTTAATATACTTAGTTTTGACAAAACTTAAGCCGAACCGTAGCCAGGTTTATTTAGCGCGCTAGTTAATCGTTAAGTAAATAAATGCATAACAAGAAAAACGAAAATACTAAAACCAAAAAAAAAATGCTTGATTTTTTCCCAAAAAAACTTCAAGAAGAAGAGAACTTCGTATATTATACATATAAAGTGCATATATATACATATAAATATATATATACAAAATTTAGATTTATATTTAAAAATCAGTTCACTATAATAAAAACTATATACTACCATAACTTAAAAAAAAAACAAAAACAACAACAGTCTTTTTTTATAGTGTGGTACCCCTGAAAACGCTCAGCCTGCCCTCCGGATGCAGCTGCTCCGGCTCCGCACCTGGCAATTCTCGCTTTCCCGTGACGCGCTTGTGGAAGCTTTGCTCGGCCACGTAACGCAGATGCTTGGCACTGCTTGCGCCGGTCTTCTCCACGAATCGATAGAGATGTCCGTTGCGCTGCTGCAGCAGCTCATGCGGATGACCCAGCTCGACGACACGACCCGCATCCATGACCAGGACACGATCCGAATCCATGACCGTGTGCAGGCGATGCGCAATGGTCAGCACCGTGCAGTTGGCGAACTTGGTGTGTATCGCCTCCTGGATAAGCTGATCCGTGCTGCAAAAGCCATAAAGATTAGCTTAATGAACATAACAGGTGCTCAGCCACTTACTCCGGATCCACATTTGCCGTAGCCTCGTCCATGATGAGTATTGTATTGTGCCTCAGAATGGCGCGTGCCAGGCAAATCAGCTGACGCTGACCCATGCTAAAGTTGGCGCCGCCATCGTGCAGCCTGTAGCTGAGGCCACCTTTCAGCGCCGTGACAAAAGCCTTCAGCTTGACGGCGTCCAGCGCCTGCCAGAGTTCCTCGTCCAGCTGATGCTCGAACGGATCCAGGTTGTAGCGCAGCGTGCCCGAAAACAACACCGGATCCTGCGGTATAATCGAGATGCGACTGCGCAAATCATGCAGACCCAATTTGGCAATATCGTAGCCATCGATCTCGATGAGTCCCTCGTTGAGGGCCAGGCGAAAGACCGCCTGCACGACGGAGGATTTGCCGGCGCCCGTGCGACCCACAATGCCCACCTTTTCCTTGGGATGTATGGTGAAGCTCAAGCCCTTCAGCACATAATGCCCATGGTCGCTGTAGCGCAGTCGCAGATCCTGGAAGTGCAGCTGACCCGCACTGGGCCACTTGGCGGGCAGATTGACAGCCGCCTCGGTCTCGTAGGAGGGCTCCGGCGGCAGCTGGACGTACTCCAGCACGCGCTCCACGCTGGTCATCTGGTTCTCCAGCTCGACAGTGTGACCCATGCCCCACTGACAGATGATGCTCAGCGTCATGGACTGCGTTATGGCCAGGCCCACGTCGCCGCTGTAATAGTCCCGATCGAATACCAGAAAACTGAACGTCACCACCAGGATATACAGCACACAGATGAGATCCGTCCAGAAGGCAAAGGCCCGATTCACACTTCCGTACAAATAAACGGCCGAGGTGTTCTCATTTTGATAGCTATGGAAGCCACGCTCTAGGCGCTTGGTCGCATTCAAGGCGCGTATGGTGGTCAGGCCCTTGAACGTCGCATTTGTGTACGAGTAGATGGGACTGCGGGCTGTGGAGGGCAGAGGAAACAGATTAGCTCAGGATGGATGTGCTTTAGGAAAATGCTTCCAGTCAAGAATATATCTATTAATATTTATTATATTTTTTAACTCCCTAAACATATTCCTATGATCCCCGACGGGGTTGCCTACTCACAGATGGTCTCGATGCGCTTGAGGCTTCGGCTGGCGCCTATGTAGAGGCTGCGGGAAAAGTAGAGCAAGGCAATCATCACAATCGCTGGAATCGTCAGCCAATAGTTGGCGATGCTCACAACCAAAAGCACAGCCAGCCCATTCACAAAGAACTCCAGAGATTCCATCATTGACTGCGGCAGGGTAATGTCAATGGCCAGAATGTCGCTGGAGAAGCGATTCAAAATGCGTCCCGAGGTGGCTAACGTAAAGAACTGCATGCTGGCGCGTATGATGCCGCGAAAGAGGAAGTTATGAATACGCAGCGAGATGCGCAGGCACAT